ATCCTTCATTCCCCTCTCAGGATTTTGGGTACGCACACACACTTGCCCAGCATGAGTTTCCAGCTGCCAGGTCCGGGACTCGAACTGCGGTTGGCCATGTGGGGGTCTGGTGCCTTAACTTCTATGCCATCTGCTGGCCCCTATTCAAATAGTCTTAATAGTTGCCACAAAACTTCATATTTTAGTTCCAATGTATCTGGTTCCTCTTGGGATTATCTCGGCTGACTTTATTTTATCTTGGAAATTTCTCCAAATTTTTGTTTTGTTCTTAATGGCACATCATTTTGGGGTTCTATTGTGCTCTGGTAGAAAGAACAATGCATGCCTTACCTCCCTGCAAATCTGTTCACATCATAACCCCGAGAGCCTGTGACTGCTACCCTACATTAAAGAGAGGGACTTTGGCACCTGCTATGAAGGCCTTCTAGAAGGGGGAGCACCCTGGATGGCTCTGGTGGGCCCATTCAAGCCACAAGCACCGTGAAGTAGAGAAGCAGGAGGTCGGAGCAGAGCAGACATGGAGCCATGGAGCAGAGGTTAGGAGCGGGCGGGGAAGGAGCCATGAGGGCAGGCGGCCCCTTGAGCTGAAAAAGAAAAGGCGAACTTTTCCTCATGGTCTCCTGAGGCACTTAGGATTTTTTTGTTTGTTTGTTTTTTGAGAGGTTTTTGCTATAGGGCATGTGCGCTCGCCAAAGAGACAGAGAGAGACAGAGAGACAGAAAGCGAGAAATCACCCCCTAGGGGGTATGGCCACGCCACTATCCCTTCTCCATTCTCCTCCCGGGATCTTGGGCACCCACGCACACGTGCCCAGCGTGAGTTTAAGCCACCAGGTCAGGGACTCGAACTCGGTCGACTACATGGGAGTTCAGCGACATGGCCATTACGCCAACTGCTGGTCCCACACTTTAGATTTCTGACATACAGAACTCTGAGTTAATAAATACGTGCTTTTGAACACTCAGTTTGTGGTAAATCGTTACAGTAGCACACGAGAACATCGTGAGGGTTCTGCAGTTTTGCTAGGCTTCTCTGACGAGTGCTGCTGTTGAGTTTAACAGAGAGCACCTTGGCAGGATTTGAACCTGAAACTGTTTCTAGGCTGGCAGTTCAGGTCTCAGTTCCCCTCATCTTACCATCTTCTTTGGGTCTGGCTCATATGCGCCCAGGGGTCAGTCAGAGCTGTGGCCGGGGTTTGGAGGTTCTCTCTGAATCTCTGCCCTCCAGGAACCTCCTGCTGCCTTCAGCAGCCATGGCTCACGGGCTGCAGTTCTGGGAACCTAGGCTAGAACCTCCCTGGGTCTCTGCGGCCTACACTTTGCCAGCTGCACTCAGCCTCAGGCCAAAACCACAGCAATCGCCCTTGTTTTGTGCCTGTGTTGCCTCCTCGCAGAGTCCGCCGTCCTGCCCTGCAGGGCCGTCAGCTGGTGGCTTTTGCAGCATGCCTGGATGATCACAGCAGTGTGTGGAGGACCGTTCAATTGCTAGACTCTTGTAATCGCCAGAAGTGGGGCTCTACTGTGGTATGGGGGTGCCTTTCGTGCCCTCACTGATTCGTGGAGAGAGAAGGGCAAGAGAAGACACCGCTCCCTGCTCCGGGTCCAGGCCGGTGCTGCAGCTCGCTTGCTGCAGGATGGGAGTGGATGGTCCGCGTCCGCCCGGGTTCTCGCACCTGTGAAACACGGTCAGAGGACACGGCTGGTGGATGAGGAACACAGGCCTTCGTGCGGTGCTGAGCCGCGTCGGCCTCATCATCTTCGCAAGATCTCTCTGTTGCTCACAGAAGGAAAGACTCCAAGCTAGTTTTCCTTTTCCTTTTTGAAAATGTCATTTACCAGAGGACGTGTGTCCTCGCTGAGGAGGGACAGGAGGGGGGGGAAGTGCGAAAGCTCCCCCGTGGGGGATGGTCCTGCCATAATCCTGTCTCCTCCACGTGGCCCTCATTTTGGGGTTTGGGCACACACACACACGGGCACCCAGCGAGCTTTTCAAGTTGCCAGATCCGGGATTCGAACTGCACAGGCAGCGTGTGGGATCCAGTCGCCTTAACCATCATGTTTCTGGCTGGCCCCCAAGCTAGTTTTTCTAGCCCATCATCCCCACCTCCTGTCAGGGAGACGAAGCTTTGAAAAATGGTGCTTTGCAGTGCCATGAGTTGTTTTCAGAATTATTATTATTATTTTTTTTGGAGATGTTTTCGCTACAGGGCGCATGCGCTCGCCAGACAGCCAGAGAGAGACATAGAGACAGAAAGCGAGAAATCACCCCCCAGGGGGGATGGCCACGCCGCAATCCCTTCTCCTCCATTCTCCTCTCGGGATCTTGGGCACGCATGCACATGCGCCCGGCGTGAGTTTTAAGCCACCGGGTCCAGGACGCGAACCGCGGTCGACTACGTGGGAGTCCAGCGACATAGCCATTACGCTAACTGCTGGTTCCACAGAATTTTCACACTTCACTTTTCAAGCTAGCTTTGGACCCTGCTCCACACCAATGCCCACTGCAAACTAGGAGGGACCGGGCATGCTCCTTGAAGGTGTGGTCAAGTGGCAGAACCGTAGCAATGGGGGCTGGACTTGGGCTTCACAGTCCTGGGTCTGGGACTGACTCACTGCTTATTGGACATTTTACTGAGAGCCAGTGTGCACCTGTCACAGTGTGGGACCCAGCACTCCCCAGCCCTGGGCACTGGAGACGCGGCTGCAGCCAGGACGCTCACGGCCCTGCCCCAGCAGAAGGGACGTCTGGTCAGAGGGCCGGACACAGTCTTGCACACCCGAGTCAAGGTCACGGAGGACAAGGGGACTGGAGGGCCCTATGCGTGTGTCAGACGGGAACTGATGTGCTCAGGGGCAGTGGGTTTTCCGGGCCATGTGGGAGGGGACAGGTTAGCATAGGGCCTGTGGTGGAAGGGGTGGGGTACCTTCTAGAACTGAAGGAAGTTGGGGGTTGCTGGGACAGCAGTAGGGGTGGGGCTAGAGGGGGAGAGGAAGTTAGAGAGGAGGGCAGCGGGGTTGCCGGTTTATCAAGTAAGAATGTGAGATGCCGGTTAAATTTGGCTTCCAGGAAAAGCTACGTATTTACTTAGTGTGTGTCCCGAGTTCTGAATGGGACATTCTTACACACTGACAGCGAACGCATGCTCCTGTTTATCGGAGTTCTCACCCGGCTGGGCGGCCTGGCTTTACCTGGTGCAGGCCTGTCCGGGCAGGGAGCTGTTCGCGAGCAGGAGTGGAGGGCAGCGGCGGGTGGGAAGGTGTGAGCAGCAGGAGCCGGCTGCCTGGGAGAAGGTGAGCGGCCATTGTGGGAGGCCAGGGCGGTGGGTGCTCCCGCCCCTGCCAGAGACCCCATGGGCTGAGGGTGGGAGCGGCCGAGCTGTGGCATCAGGAAACACTGGGGGAAGCTGCTGCATCCTCCGGTCTCCGCCTGTGGTCGGGAGGAAGGCTGCCCTTTGCCGGGCAATTACTCACTGGGTGCCAGGGGATGTGATGGTGCCCGAGCCGCCGGGCAGGACCCCTGCTTCATGCCCTAAGAGCCTGGCCCTGTTAATGGCCCCTCCCCACCCCCAAATGAGTCGCTCTTCCCAGACAGCTGGTCTTTGCCACTGTTTGTTTTTGTGATTCAAAACTGAGTCATCTGCTCTGGGCCAGAGTGTGCCAGGGCCTTTTTTCGGGCTGGGAGCGTGGGGGTGGGGTGGCTCTCCCTGAGCTCCAGGGTTCAAGGTCAGCCCCTGTCTGCAGGTGTCACTTTATTCAGGGTCAAGAAACTTACGGCCATGGAGCCAGCCCCTCCTGTGTTGGGATCCTCGCCTTTCTGAGACTCGGTTTCCTCGTCTGTAGACAGGGGAGGTGGCAGTGCCTCCCATGCGCGGCTGCAGGGGGCTGAGCTGAGACAGAGGAGGAGAAGCCCTGCCAGGCCCTGCCGCTCCGCCCACTCCCTTGCCCCTGCCCCTCCCTGGCAATCTGCAGAGGCTGCCGAGGTCAGCACACGTGGTCCTGGACGAGGCCGGTGGCAGATTTCCGGCATTGTGGCGTGGACGGCTCAGGAGCCGCACCTGGCCCTGCCGCGGCAGCCATGGGGCCAGCGCCAAGGGCTGAGCACTTCATTCGTGGACTCGGGTGTTTGAGTTTCAGACCATTTTCATGTGGCTTCCCATTGCCCTACGACATTAGATCTCCCCCACCCCTGCAACCGCTTAACACTGTACCCCCAATTCTAGATCGAGAGCCACAGAGATCCGGGTTGCACCGACTGGCTCCCAGGCTGCGGTCTGCAGAGCGGACCAGAGCAGACTGCGGCTTGGCCGGGCTGGGCCTGGCTCGCTGGGCAGGGGGTGCCTCTGGGTGGGGAGCCTTCCCGACTTTGGGAGGTGCTGAGATCATCAGGGTTCTCAGGCAGAACGAACCCAATCAGAGGTGTCATAGTTTTCTAAGGCTCTGGGTTCGAACCCGGGTTTGTGCTTTTCCCCCCTTCGAATACATTCCTTAGTAACAGGTAGGCTTTCCAGAACTCTTTGCCAGGGCTCCTGCTGTTCCTCAGAGGTGCCTGGAGGGATCTCTAAGTCTTACTGGAGTCCCTGGAGCTGGGGCCTGGGCTGACTAGTCCCTCCCCTTCACTCCCTCACCGCTGGGCCTCCCAGATGGGTGATCACCCTAGAGGCCAAGTCGCTGGAGAGGAGGCTGGCTCCCCTCGGAGTTTTTGTTATTTAACGTTTACTTGTTTATTTCTTCTGAGAGAGAGAGAGACAGACAAGCACCCCGCCGTCTTCTCCCTGACCCACCCCAGCCTCCTCCAGCCTGGTTCACAGCACACAGGGACTCAGTGATCCGCGAGGTCCCAGGGTCGGGCCCACGCCCCTCCCAGCGGTGTGACTGCCGGCCCACGGCCTGTTTCCCTATTGGTTTTTAATCGCCAGAGTGTGCATACACCTGCCAGAGAGAGAGAGAGAGAGAGAGAGAGCACCTCCTTACGTGCTTTGCCTCGGGTGTCCCCAGTCCCACAGCCAGCTTGGTCACCGTGGACTGTGGCTGCTTTTGACCTGCCCCAACCTCAGCAGGCCTGTGCCGGCCCTGGGGCAGTGCTGGGCGACTCTGAATGGCCTGCCCTGACCTCTCTGGGCCCGGCCTCTGCTGACAGGAACTCCCACTCTCCTAGCCTTGGGCTGGTGAGAAAAGTAATTGGATTAATTTTAAAAAATGGAAGCCCATGGGCTGGGCTGGGAGCAGAGCTGCTCAGTTGGTCCTGGGGCACACCGTGACTGCTTATCCTGCCCCTCACTCCAGCCCTCGTTCTCCTATCCCAGCCTTCATCTTCCTCCCTCGGAGGCATGGCCCTGCAGCGCTGCAGCCCCGGCCCCAGGTGCCCCAGCCTGGGGGTACCCTCCCTCCTTCCTGCTTCCCTCTCTGTCCCCAAGGGGCGGTGGGTCCCGGGCAGTTGGACATCTGCACATCGGGACCTCCCAGAATGAAGTCTGGTGCACACTGGCAAGCACAGCTCCCCTCCCCCCAACACGCACACGCACACGCACACACACACACAGACACACGGACACACACACACACACACGCACACACACAGACACAAACACACAAACACACACAAG